TGAGAGATGGGGGTTTTTTGAGGATTTGCCTTTCCAGTGGCCATGGCCATGGTCATCTCCTGGTCAACTGGAAGGCTCTGACTGCCTCTCCTTGCTGCAAGGCTCCTGGGAAAAGGTGAAGGCACGTCGTTCCCCAAGCAATGCTCCCTTCATGCATTCTTTGAGCCAAGCATTAGAATTCCTTGAAGCTGGCTTTGATAAATGGCTGCATTTGTTGGTTGTTTTTTTTTATCCAATACAGGTTTTTACCTTTTGTAGCTAAGCAGGCTTTTAGTTCTGTCCTTTTCATTCTACTGCTCCTTGTAGAGATTTTCTACCTGCTAAAGCGTCATAACAATAGATTAGCCGTTGGCCCAGTTAAACACGCAGCGAAAATTGCTCTGAATGTGGTATTAATCAAAGCAGACATTGAAATGAAAGGGTAACTGCTGAAATCTATTTGGAATAATCTGGAAAGGCAACGGTCTAACCCTGTGTAGGCACGGCTGGTTTTCAGAAAGGGCTTGTGATACTGTGTGTGTTCTCCTTGTATCGCGGCTAAAGATACAAGAAGTCCATTTATTTCGGAAAGTTCTGAGCACCCACTGTCTGAAAGTGTTTCCTAACAGGGCCTCATCATGTGCTGGGTACTTCTGGGTCGTTATCATAAATATAAATAAACATGTTTCTGTGGTTACTATAAGGAAAACAGCTGCTTAGAAAGTCATAGAGTCACAGAAGACATATATGAATAATTTACAGAATTGCAATTAGCCTGCAAGTAGGTACAATGAAGATCAGTAAAACAAGCACTTAACAATATAATGAAGATGACAACACTAAATTTACTGTGGATCAGTTAGGTCTGTTACAGTCATTTATTATTGAAGAATTATAGAATGGTTTGGCTTGGAAGGGACCTCCCACCAGACCAACTTGCTCAAAACCTCGTCCACCCTGACCTTGAACATTTCCAGGGAATGGGATGCCAGCTTTTTCCAAGCTTTACATTTAATTTTTATTTTTTTTCCCATTTCCTGAACTAAGTGCCACTTTTAGATCAGGTTTGTGCTAAATGCATGTGCATCAGAACACAGTTGGTTTAGATGAGTGTGCTGTTAAATGTGAACACAGATATTATGTGCATTTTATATAGAATGGTTTCGTTCAGAAAAAAACCTTTAAGGTCATCGAGTCCAGTCGTTAACACATCACTGCCAGGTCCACCACTAAACCGAGTCCCTGAGCGCCTCATCTATACACCTTTTATATAATAACATTTTAAATATACAGCAAATAGGACGCAGCTCTGGTAGAAGCAAAATGCCATGTTTTTTCTTCTGCTGACGTATAATTCTAACAGTGTTTTTGCTTCTTGTTCTATTTCTAGTGGAACTGGAGCACAGGATTGATTTCGAGCTCAGGGAAGGTCTCGTGGAGAACAGATACTGGTCCGCAGTCACGTCTCACACTGCATATTGGTCATCTCTGGATATTGCTCTTTTCCTTCTAACTTTCATGTACAAACATGACCAAGAAGATACTGACAAATCCAATTTAGACACTATTTGAATTTTTGACCGGAGATGGGAAAGGAAATTTTAAAATGAATGGCACAAAACTGTTTTACTGTTTTGCTGTTTTATTGTTAGACCGCGGAGGTTTCAGGTTTAAGTGCATGTTTGGATTTTATTTTTTTTTCCTGTTTCTAAAGAGCGAAAATTATTTGTATTTCAAAGCACTTTATAGTTTTAAACATTTTGCAGTGCTTAATTAGACCTGAAAGGATTCCCAATTCCTGTTAACTTTGTATAAAAAGCCAGTACAACGTGTAGCATCCCATGAGCACGGTTGCGCAATGTGCTTGGGTGACATACTTGTTAATGACCGTAATTGCTGTTTAGTTCATTAAAGTACAAAAGACTAGCTGGTTAAAAAAACAAACCACACCAAAACCTAAATTCCCATTAACAAAAAATATATGTTAGCTACCAACCTAAAACTGCCATGTTCAGATGTTTTCTGTATCAATAAACAACCAACGGTGGTGTCATTTTTCTAGGACTTTATTCAGCTCCGCATCCTGTTATCCACAGTACCATCGACAGACCATTCCGACTGTTGGCTTCTGAGGGTGTATTCTACGTGACACGTTTAGAAAGTAATGCTGAAAAAAAGCATGAGGCAAATAGTTGAAATACTGTAATTATAATTTATTATGCTCTCCAATTGTTTCATTTTATCCCCGTGTAAAAAGAAAACAAACAAACCAACAAACAAAAAACATTACTTTTTTACCGGTTTCTTTTGACATAATTTAAGAACCACATTTATTTTCTACAGTGTTAAGACTTTTTTCTCAGAAATGCATATCTTTGTACTACTATTCAAATGAATATATGGACACTGTGGCACACTTTAAGTATTTTTTCATTGAAAATAAATATTTGTGGTTTCACACAAACGACATCAGTCACATTCTTTGCTTTTTAGGTCTCGAGTATTTCTCAGGTTTTGACCTCACATTACACTTGGTTTGCAAAAGATCCAGCTGTTTTTTCCTTACCATTATTCAATGGGTGTACGTGTATGTATAAAAATGTGTGTATATTTATGTGCAAGGATCCCATCGAGAGGAAAGAGAGCAGCCTAAAATAAACTGGGTGAGGCCTAAGAATAGCAGAGCTTAGGTTAGATTTGTATCTGAAACTAATTCAGGGGAAGGTGAGAGAGAAAGGTTGGGATGAAAGGGAATAAACCTCCAACTAGAACACTAAAAGGTCATTGCTGAGATTTTAAAACTCCAGAGTAGAAGTATCGGATATATGGGGTCCGGGCTGCCTCCTGCAGGGGTATTTCTGATCTGTGTAGTGCATTGAGAAGGTGAAAATCTAAATTTCTGTCGAAAAAAAAAGAAAACCATCAGGTAGTGGTGGTGAATAGCGGGGTTCTTGGGCTGAACGGATGTGGCAGCATCAGCCCACGCGAGCAGACAGCCTCAGCAGCGGCTCCAAGATGTGGAAACCACCCAGACATCCCTTTCTGAAGTTTCGGGCAGGGAGAGAGAACATTATTCTCTCAAATAACATTGCTTGGGCTGTTGCTTGTTTCTCTGGGCTGTTGCTTGTTTCTCTGGGCTGTGGTGCTGTGAGGAAGGAATACTTGTGTTCAGCCAGTCTAAAGGACCTTGTTTCAGTGTAAATCTCTGAAAACACCCACCCGGCCTCAGTAAGTTGTAACTCACCTGCCTGACAGGTTTACCTGGGTCACTGAACAATCATAAAAAAGTAAAATAACCCTCCAAGAGAGGGAAGCTTGACACCTCTGCTCCAGGAAATGGCCTTTTGTTTACGTCACTGGCTTTCCAGATAAGTTGTTTAATCAGCTCTTCCTAATTAGGAGAACTTAAGCAGAAAAGGAGAATCTCCTTGTATATTTAGAATGTGGAAAACGTTGCCAAATGCGCGTGGTTTGTGTTCCAGGGCTTTGAGTTGGATCGTGTTGCCGCTGCCTTTATCCCCTTACGCAACTGGATCTACGCTACATCTCTCTCTTTAAATGCTGTAAACAGAAGAGGATTAATTCCTACAATTCTTGTGGTCTGTGTAAACTCTGCTGTTGTCCAGAACATGCTTCAGATTTATGGAATAGCTGTTCCCCTCGCATCAGAACGTGCCGGTACTTGCCAACTGCTCTCCATATAAGGGCTGAGATCCTGCTTTTAGGTGTGTGCCCCTCGGTAAATTGGGGAGAAGACAGAGCTGAGAACTGAACTGTGTTGCTGGTAGGAGAAGAGGTAAGAAGGACCAATCACCTGTTCATCGCTTTACATTTTTCCTGAGTTGATGGACGTGTGCATTCATGATTCTGTTCCAATTTTGTAGCTTCACGGAGCATCTGCTCATCTCCAAGCTTAATTGCAAAGATTAAAACATACCTTGAAAGAATAAATAGAGATTTATTCTAAAGCATACGCGAAGATGTTAAGCGTGCCATGGGCAGTCTTTTTAATCCTCGAAAAAAAAGATGTCTCATCCTCCGGCAAAGATGAAATACTATTTGAAAATTAAATTTAGGAAAAGGGTTGCCCCATTTCTATTCTGCGTTGTAACACGGATTCAAGTAGGGTCACGTCCCTGCATGCTAGAGTCTAAATTTCACGCTTAAAACTTTCTGGTCAGATGGTCCGTGGCATAATATAGAGCTGGAATGTCCTGGCTTCCAATTACTGACTTGTTTTCTTCTGCAAGAATGATGTTTAGCTTTACAAGCTGTGTTGACTGGTGGTTTTTCTTGAGAAACCAAGATAAGGGAAAAGTACTGCGCCGTTGTCAGTCTTCCGACTGATACCGAGCTGTTTTCTGAAACTTGCCCTTGAGTGCGTTGTCCAAATTTGCCTCTTACAGTTTTCTTGCTACAAGGTCATTTTTGTAGATAATGAGCCTTAATTTTTTTAATTTTTTTTTTCTGAATTCCCTCCTTTTGCTCCTAATTATTCTGCCATGGTTTTGCTACAGCCTCCCTTCTCATTTTGTGCACTCTGGGGTTTTTTTTGCCCATGTTTCTGGATTTAGAGGCCCTTTGCTTTATTTCACTGTGATGGTCTAGCTGGCCAACTTCAACTATTTTGTCTCCTTTCCTAATTAGGATTATTAGGCTGAACTGAAAGATTCTCATACATATATTACACCAGGTTACCACCTCTTCCTCCTTCATGGTTTTCCATTGTCTCATTTCCCATGCCGCTTGGCAGTCGAGCTGGCTCTGCCCGTGGCTAAATTGGTGGGGATTGATTTTTTTTATTTTTTTTTCAAGTTGAGTTTGTGAATCCCTACGTCAGCTGTTTGCAGTTAGATAGGTACTGGCTATTTGTGTGCCCTCTGCCAAATGAGTTTACCTGAAATTCATTGTTTCCCTCTTTTTTCCATCATTAGCTTGGAGATTAGGTTTCTGCCTCCGTACATCATTTTTCTACGGGGGTCAGACTGCGGGTGATGGACCTATGGTGTTTTGCAGGGCCACCTGCCCCATCTCCACTATCCGTTTCCAGTGGCCGTCAGGGGTTCAGGAAGCTTTTACACACCAAGACCCAGGAACAGACTGTTGCATCTACTGAGCTATTTTCAGTCTTCCAAGCATTCTCTTACTGGTTGCTCTCCATCCCCAACTGCAGCGACCACTTCCCATTGCTTCCCCAGAGCCCACGCCTATTGTCTTTGCAGATCTTGCAAAAAGCTTTCAAATTTATATTTTTTTTAAATGTCACCCGTGTGACAAACCCATTTTCTGGTTTGTCAGATGGGCTTCAGCCTAACGGGTTTTTTTGCATTCCGTGTGCATTTAGTAATTGTTTTTCACAAAAGCAAACTTTCTCTTGGTTTAACTTTTCCCTCCTTCTTCCATGGGTATTTTTGAGAAAAGCTTGTCCCTTGCCTCTTGCATTCAAGCCTCTTCCGAAGGGTTTGGTTTTCATTTCTGCTTTGATTTCACCCCAGTGGCACTGAAGTTTGCTTCTTGAATGTTTGAGCATCCTCAAGACTTAAAAATGAAAGCCTTGAAACCCACTTGACACCCATGAGGCCTTTGTGATCCCTGAGACTTCTTCTGAAAGCTCAGCATCAACAAAACCCAACTGGATGCGTTCAGCTTTCAGGGTGGGTTTTGCGTGTTCTCTCTTCGCTGCGGTTGTGCTTTCCATCAGTCAGCTTAATTCTGGGTCTGACAAAGCATTTTCTGTCACAGTCAATAAATCTTGGTGTGTTAGCGAGCAGCAGATCTGGGCTGGCGTCTCCCAAGGCTGGTTCCTTGCTCTTTGGGTTTCTCCTGCATTCCTCGATGCCCATTTGAGCCATGCTTTGTAGAGAAGTCAGGATGCTTTGTGTTTCTCCCTGTCCTGCAGAAGCGTCTGAAACTGCGTGCACAGCTCCTGATGCTGACAGTGTGTTGACATGGTCTCCTCTTCCAAGAAGTAAGAGGAGAAGTCTTGATATATGGAGAGAAATTCCTGTCTATGAAAATTTCAGGTTGCTCCGGAGGTCAGTGCTCTCTGGTCCTATTAGGGAGTAAATTCTACTATCAGCTTTTTCCACCAAAAATGCCCTGTCTCCCCAGCTGCAGTTGCAGCAAACCTTGGCCAATCCCTTTCCTTCAAGAGTGGAAAGCCAAGGAGACCACTGCAAGCATGAGATGTCCCAGAAGCAATCTCTCATGGTTTCAAAATCCTCTCTTGATTTCTCCAAAGAGAGGGTTTTGATTTGACAATTCTGTAGGCATCTGCCACAGATTAACTTCTCTCTTTGTTTCTTAAATAAAATACCAGTCCCCTGGTGCCTCGTTCATTGTGAGCATGGCCGTGGGAGAGGTGAAGTGCAAACTTCTCTACAACTGCAGCCCTTGGAGCTCAAGCTCTGCATCCAACTTGTTGTTCTTGCTGGTTTTATGACTCTTTCAGATATCTCCTTGAAAGTCAGTATCTCAGCTCAGAGTGGTCCCGTGCTTTGTAGTTAAAGAGCAGCTACTTAAAGGCTCTTACCATTTCACCATGCCGCTTGATAAAGAAGATCCTCGATTTC